GTCGAGGCAGTCGCGATCGAGCGGTGGCGGCGCGTCTATCGATCGTCACGTGTATACGTCGTCACAGCCAGTTAATTAGACGAGTCGGGTCTGGCATGCCCCTCTTTAAGAATTCAGAGCTCGTGCGGCCAGTGGTACGTGCTGATCGAGCGGAAAGTTTCCCTTGCGACTGGCTGACGCACGAACCGCTTGCTAGTTTCGTCTCGGCAGTCGAGTGAAACCGGCCCTAACGGCCGTCAGTCTTCAGTCTTGCCGGTGGAGGACCACTGGACCAGTCAACAGACTCAACATGGAACACCTGACAACGTGGAAAATGTTTTACGTTTGTGTATTGGCCATCTCTCTGATGGTTCGTCCGTCCACTGGCTCGCAAATGCAGCCGCTCGTCGTCAGCAACTCGTTGGACGAAGGTGTCGCCAAGGACTACTTTATAGGACCGTGTCTGGTGAACACGAATCAAACTTGCCCTGATAAAGAGGTGACGTTCTTCTTATACACGCAAAGAAATCCCGATGCGGGTCAGCAGATCATGGTCGACGAGAAGCGCTCGAATTTGAAACGAATCCATTTCGAACCTTCGAACCCTACCAAGATCCTGATACACGGTTACGATTCTGACATGGCACTGTCTTACCTAGTGGACGTGCGAAACGAATACCTGAAAACCTATGACTACAATGTGATAGCCATGGATTGGCATCGTCTAGCTACGGCACCCTGCTATCCCATCGTTGTGCAAAACGTGCCACACGTGGGCGATTGTTTGGCCCAGCTGGTGCAGAGACTGAGGGACGTGGGTGCGGACGATATCCACGTGATCGGCTTTAGTCTGGGTGCTCACGTGCCCGCGTTCGCGGCTAGAGCTCTCAGACCGTACAAGATGTCAAGGATAACGGGTTTAGATCCTGCCATGCCGTTGTTTGTCACCGTGGAGAATGACTACAAATTAGACCCGTCGGACGCTGTCTTCGTCGATGTCTTTCATACGAACGCGTTCATTCAGGGCAAGGTGGAGATGAGCGGGCACATAGATTTCTATATGAACGGTGGGATCAACCAGCCAGGTTGTTGGGACAATTGGAAGCCTTTCGAGTGTGATCATCACAGATCCGTGATGTATTTCGCCGAGTCCATCAATTCGGATGTGGGTTTCTGGGGCTGGAAATGCGGAGGATTTTCTTTTTATCTGCTTGGCCTGTGTCCTCCCAGGTACCCGGCCGTTTTGGCTGGCGACAAGGTGGATAAGAAGAGCAGAGGCTTTCATCTGGTGAGAACGAACGGGCACAAACCGTACGCCATGGGAAATTTCAGCGTGAACCGGTTAGATATGTATACGTAAGGTCGACGAAGTGTCGAGCGCTACTGTCGCGAGATACAACTCGTACGATAAATCGAAGAATGTACGACGTGAGACTTTCGGATGCGATTCTGCTCTCTGATTGCGGAGCATAAAGAGGACACGTGCGTGAGACGAAGCGGTTGCTGCTGCAAGCGGGCACCAACGATGTGTCCCTCCGGCAAATTGTCACGGTGAGCGTGAGAGTTGACTGAAAAACGTGTTCCGTGTCAAGGTCAGGGTATCTCGAGCACCTGGTGCTCCGCTAATCGATACTGTGTTCGGCGTAGAGAAAGAAATGGGGCTAACCGGCTATAAGCCCGTTTAGGAGTTGATTCGTATCGATTCGGACGCGCGCGAAACGGATGAACAAACTATCGGCTCGAAAGTTTCGATAAAACGAAATCTTCTCTGGGAAGATTAAACTTGGACATTTCGAAGCATTTCTCGGGCAAATTTTTGTGTGAAGTACATTAATATCAAACATCTTTTTACTTTCGCCAAAGTGATTAGGATCGTGGATTTGAACTTATATATCGTGGTTAGGGGATATCGGTTCGTCGCATCGGTTTGACGAATAAAAATCAGTGGTTTGATAGGAATTGTGAACATCGTTGTAAGCTTTTTACGTAACAATGTGCATCGAATGGATCTTTACGAGATATTATCCAACTTATATCTAATGTTACGTAACACGCGCAAAAGTTACAGCTACATTAGTGAGATTTATCGAAGAAACTTGATTTCGAAAATATATGCAAAATATATATTGAATATATACAAATATAGAAGAATTTAATTTCAGCGTAACATATGTAAATTACATATGTAAAGGATTATAAATAAGCTGAATTTTATTAATATCGTTTGAAATATTGATAAACGAGTTGCACGTAATCTGTTATTTGTTGATAGAGGCGCAGTTATTTAGCGAGATTTTGTATCATATTTATGGATTGTCGTCGAAATAATGATACAAAAATATTATTTTGTATAAAATAAGAGAGGTTATTTATTCCTTATATCATTTACTTTGGATTCTCATATTTCGGTCATTTATTGTATTTATCATATCGAAAATTCTTTATTTTCATCCAGTGTTATTAATTGCTATCAATTTACTAAAATATTTAAAGCGATTAATAATGTATGATTTATATTTATTTATTTGTTACATTTAACTTAGATCGTAAAATTACGTTATCATCGGAGATATTATTTTTGATACCAGGAAATTCCAAGGCAAACATTACGTCCGATAGTAATGATATGCCTGTTACTACAGAAAAATACGTATCGATTTAATGTAACTCGCACGAAACATAAAAATGATTTATTTGTTTATCTATTTACTTAATTTTCCTATGATCCTCTAAACTTTTCCAACGTAGTTCCACTCTCACCTTTATGAACAATTTTTCAAATTCTGTGAACAACGCACCTTTGATATAAAATTGAAGTATGGAGATACACGTGTTAATGAAAATTTGTTTATAATTGTCTAGAATTTTTGAAAACAGACAAATATGTGTGAGTGGAAAACGACTACGGGCTTTAGTAATATTTAAAGCATTTGTGAATGTAACAATGCCTTAAGTGTATTGTAAATATATTATATTGTTTACAATGCCTTCCTATAGTTCTGAATAATATCATAGGAAAAAATATAGGTGTAGATTGCATGATTTTATACATTTCAATACTTTTGTATTAACACGTAAAATTATAATTATTATTCTTCTAGAATATTTCAAATTGATTTCTCAATAAAAAAAAGGCAAATGATAAGAGATTACACAATTAAGAAGTTAATCTTATCAATAACCTGTTTTCATCTTTTCTACGGTAAAAAGTCTGTCTAGATATAATTATATATCTGTGATCAGATTAATGATTAAATATCTATTTGATTCGGGAATTAGAGCAACATAGATTGCAATCTAATTAATTAGTGGTATTCTATATTGATTACGATTCTTCATATTGATATTACATTAATTCGAAAGTTCTCAAAAGGAATAGAAATACACCTAAAATGAAAAGATATTACCAAAGCTACTCGATAATTTATATAAATAATATTTGTAATAACGTTTAACATGTAATATCTATTTAAATTATGCGTAGCGTAATTTTATATTAGTTTCATCGAAAATAAATGATGAATCAGAATTCAGCCACGTTTGATTTTTCAACAACTCCACTATTAAAAAATTAAAAATTCATTAGAATCGATACATTTTCAGTAAAGATTCTTCGCCAATGAAATATAAAATCATTGATCCATATCTAAAAAATACTGCAATCTTCCGGAATTAATAAATTGCTGTGTTATAAACATATTTTTTTATCTTCGAAAACTATCTGGATATTCGAAAACACACTAATCGATAGACGACACAAAAAGCGGGGCAAGATAAGATTTCTATATTAGGAATATTCCAATTGTGACAATGCTTTAGTGAAGTCTAATTCCCACGATATAAAATCCATTAATAACAAATGACAATTGTTATCTTAGTCGAGTGACAAATCCAAACACGTTCTATTCGGTCATTTATTTCCTATCTACGTAACGTTGTACGGGGTGTCCCATTGTTTTTTCTGCAAAACCGTTCAAAAATATTTTCCTAATAATAAGAATTTTAAAAATGTCGTATAAAACAAAAATTGATAAATGCGTTATTAACCTGTTAACTGGATCACCCCTTAACCAGAAACTTTTACTAACTTTTTACTAATTATAAAAATGTATTAATTAATCAAGACACGAAAAAGTGCTCAACTCCAGTTATATTAATTGTAACATAATTTATCATTAACGCGAATGAATTGACACGCAAAAGGATAGGAAATCCCCAAATGTAGTATTGTTTTTGAAAAAAAATAATCCGTATATTTAACTCGTTTTCCCTCTTTAAACAGTTAAACAATTATTAACAGCAACACGAGTTATTGATCATTTTTCCTGCAATGTTTTATAATGTGGCGAATATCGAACGTTCGTACGATTCTAAAAAGAATTTATTACTTGAACAGAGTCCGGTGCAAAGACCTTAGAAGATCTAAAGGACCAGAAGCCTTACTGCATGATCCTGTTAGTTTCTTTAAAGCCGACTTTAAGACAAAACGGTTCGTCATGCTCTATAAGTCGCAGGTGAAACGTTTCAAGAGTCAAAGGCTGTGCGAGAGAGGCTTCGATTAATTTTGTCGCTTACATACCGGGGTCAGATTTCCTGATTATATTATGTTTATTAATGCCATTTTATGTAAATCAACGATAAGTATAATGCTCACTATCTTAACTTTAATAAGTTTTATATCGCGTGTTCTACAGCAAATTTATTACTACGATTAAATTAATGAAATTTGCTATTGCATATTAAAATAATTGAAATGAATGAATAAGTTCCAATTTAATCGTACTATTTGCAAACGCAGTAATAGTAACAATAGCGATAATTAACATACGTGTAATCTTAGAGTAGATTACAAGAATTAATATATTTAGCAAGTAAAGAAATAATATATTTACCAAGGTTTTAGATCGACTTTAAAATACAAGTATGTCATAAAAGTAAAATTAAATTTTATAGTAATAAACGAAAAGTGTATGGTGTCGAGTGCCAATTATGACTTTCCTTTAAATAATCTAATTGAAAATTTAACAATTTTTCTCTCTAAAGTAACACAAGCCATTTCATTTGTACAGTGTTAGAACATTCAAATTGAATCATCACCAATTCGAATATTAAACAAACGGAAAGCACGTTTTGGAAGTTGGATTGTATCCAAACAATTCGTTAGTAACTAACGAGGCTCTCGTTAGCCGGTACGTGATGGCAAAGACTATAAGAACCGGCTCGAAAAAAAAAGAGAAAGAATTCAGGACACCGACTAATTCATTAAAAAATCCGATTGTTACAAATTGAAATTACATAACATAGTTTAAGCAACAGGTAAAGGATTTTCATTTATTCTAAAACGAAAATAATTTAAAACTAGAAACTCTTTTTCTAAGGAAAATAATCCTAATTAGTTTTGAGTAATATTTCAGCAACTAAAATTATAAAGTTTACAAACAAAAATTGTATAAAGTATACAAATTCTAATATTCAATTCTAATATTATATCTTAAATTAACGTTGTAATCTTCTACTTCTCGAATTTTTAACATTCATTGGTAACATCTCAAAAAATGTTGTTTCATACGTAAACTGTATACAGTTCGGGAAAATGGGATTAATCGATTAATTGTAACTTGATAATAATAGTTGTTTAAGGATGAATTATTAAGTAACCTACTTATTAAACGAGCTCAAGAATTAGATCGTGTATCACTCGTCTATTTACAGTTATTTTTTCAAATTTTATCTTCATTTTCTGCAATCGTGACACACATCTGTATTACATCTCACATATCTATCTAGAAAATCTAGGTTATTTTCTCTTTTCAGTATATCTTTAAATGGAGCAAGATCCATCTACATATTGAAATCTCTCTGAATATTTTCTTCTGTAAAATACGCGATCGTTTGATCGAAAACTTACGGTATAACATTTTATATCAAAATGACGCACTCTGCAGTTTAAATTCACGTGGAAGATATCAGAATAGCATTGAAACTAGAAACAACGCGATGCAAGAGTAGATTATGTAATCAAAAAGTTCGCGCGCGCACGTAAATAGCTGGTAAAAACGTCAGTTTCTACGTAGAAGGTATTGTAATGTATTCAAATGCATGCAAATGCTGGCTTTGCTTGAAACGTGAATATCACTAAAAGTAGGTATAACAACATAATTACTTAAAGAGTGCACACATCGTGATGAAAAGAACTCGTATTAGGTGAAATTTCAGATATTTAAACGTAGTTATTCGCCAAAGCGGAGTGTAATCTATGCATTTGGATCTTGCTTTTCATCGGAAATGGTAAATTGTTAATTCAATCTTTGGGTAGTCGATCGGTTCAGATTCCTTTTTTTTTTTTTTTCTATGAGAAATACAATTTTTCAACAGAAACAAAATTATTAAATCGACATACAATGTGGGTTTTTGTGGATTATCGAGGAAAGTTTTCAAATTTTAGTTGACATTTGTGAAACACCCTGTTCAATCCAGTTACATATAAAATATATAAAAATACACAGAATAAAATAGTATGACAAACGTTCCAATATTTACTCCCGAGGAATGTGCACATTTCGTATCATTAATGCAACGTTTTTAGATCTGTTTATTTTTTCTAGTAACGTCATGTTACACGAGATCGTGCGACTCGAAATAAGCATACTTCTGGTTCATTTAAATGAATGGGAAGTTAAAGGTCTGGAAAAGTGATAAAACGTTGTGTGTACCGCAGCGTAAGCTGCGAATTAAATTTTTTAAATGAACCACGATAGGTTTGTTCGCAGGTTTGTTTCAATGTGTTCAAACCGACTATTAGGTTTATGTATGCAAGATTTTTGTTATTTCTCGCGATTTGTTTATTTGTTTATTTCCTTTCCTGCTTATTTCCTTGTTAATTTCTATGGACATATAATTTATTTTTATCAGAGCACGATAGATAAAATATCGACGGCGACATACAAACAAGAAGAAAGAAAAAAGAAAACTAAAATTGGAAGTTCGTTTTCTCTTTCTTCGGAATAAAATGGTTTGTACCATACTTTCGCGGATTATAAATTGAGAATCGTAAAATTTGACGGAGACACGAAAAATCTCGGTATTCAGTGCGATGTACCGCAATCTTCGGTAAATTATGACAGATTTATGAAACGCATGGTTGTCCGATATTCACTAAGATACTCGAAATTCCTTAAATTTTCTTCGATCGAGAAACTCGCCCAAGGTATTCGATGAATAACGTTCTTGGATTAAAAGTTGGGTGAATTATTTATATTGTAAGAGGTATATATATATATATCTTTCTCTCTTATCTATGATTTAAAACTTCGTTCGAATGCGCGCGCGATACAAAGACTTAAGAAGCTTAAGAACTTTCTGAAATATGGTTTTCAAGATATAACACAGATTGATAGAAGGTGTTTCTCCAGGATGAAAAGATGGCTCCTTTAAAGAACAGAAAGTTTTTCAATTTCGAGCAATGAAATACCGGATAATCATATTAATTATGCAAACATTACAAGTTTATATCAAAGCTGGCACGACGCGTCGTAAAACGAGTCTCATTCTATCGTTTATTATCCTTTCGTTGTCAAAGATTGGTTGATAAACTATATCATTAATAGGCATAGTTAGGGTAATAAAGAAATGCAAATTTAATAAAGAAAGCAATTTATTACCAAATGCCACACGTTCCTTTCTTTCAGTAACAAAGTGTATTTAAAAAATTTCAACTGCTACGATTTAGTAAAATACAAATATAGCTTCTGGTAGATTATATCGATTTACGAGCTATTCTACTAATTATTGAAACGTTCTAATTTTTTAACTTACTAATGTATTTTATTTTACATCATAAAATCAACAAATTATTTAATCGCGATAGCTTTCAAAAATTAGTCAGATAACAATAACATGTTCCAGAACTAAAGCAGTTAGATGGATAGTTTACGTTTAAAAATTCTCTCGACTTCCATCATCTACTGGCACTGCCATTGACCTCTGACACGTTACAAATGGAGGCACCTCGCATTTACATTTCAAGTCGACCGTCCACATGTCGACCGGTTCTGGCTCAAATTCCTCACCTACGCGCTTCGTATCATTATAAAATCGGCACGTTTTGGTTTCTGTAAAAACCAATATAATAGAATTAACATCATTGATTGCATTCACATAATAACTTCACAGTAAAATAAGTGAGACGAGTACCAAATGCCAAGGAAGTGTCAACGAGCTGCGTTTAATTCTTTGATTTTTGCCAACAGCATTAAATAATCGTATTAAATGATCACCTCGTGTCTATGCTATGAAATTCTACATCAGATCTGTCTGATATGAAAACTGAATGATAAACAGATTGGTCAAGTTCAAATTTCTATGATGATGATGAAATACGGAATCGATGAATCCTATTTGAATATCATTTCGAGAAATGCAGGTAGGGAGACATTAGAAATGACGTTACAGGTTGAAGCACATTCTCAAAGCCACTTACCTCCCGCAGAAACCGACATAACGTTGTTAAATTCCTCGATATCGACGTTCTTTAAGTCCGCTGCAAAAACAAAATTGATTCTGTAACATAGGTTTCTCTTACGAGGAAGTTTTCGAAATGAATAATTACTTGAGAAAGATAACTGTTGGAAGTTATAGTACTTTATCTCTTAATAACTGAATTCGGAAAATTTGGTATCGACCAGAAAAATGACGTCGAAGTCTGCCCATAAGCAGCTTTGAAAATGGGTACAAATGATACTTTTTTCTAATTATTTGTACATTTTGGCTTTTTTCTAAGTACATATAAGTGAAATAATTTTTGTTCACCATATATGATTTTATGTATCCACGCACGCTAATGTTTTTCTAATTTTTCTACTAATCTGGGAAATCTTACTTAATAGAAATTTTAATTAATAGAATGTTTCTCACTGTTTCAAATTTCAATTCATAACATACTTTCTCTATCTGCGTAATAATTCTAAAGCTTTATTTTTTTAATTATAATTATTTTTTAATTACCCAAACGCAATTTCAGCATCTGGTAGGATAGAAAAATAAAAAAATGTTTCACGTCCACCATCGTAATTGAAACCCGAGCATTATCCCAATTCTAGTTATTACATTTGTTTGCATTTATCTTGACAATTCCGAAAAGTAAACAAAAATTACGAAAATATATCATTCGTAACTATTTTCGGAGCTGCTTATGACGGACTTGGACGCTATCTCCCAAATTTTCTCAGTAAATGGCACTCAGTTCAATTATTAGACGGTAGCTAGTATTGTAACTTCCAAAACTCATTTTTTTTTACAACTAATTAGTCGTCTAGGAAACATTTTATAGAAAATTAATACTTCTGATGCAGAAAACGCGGAAGGATTAAACACGTGTTTCCAATTGTGAACTTACGGCCCGTATATACAGGTTGATAGCAATGATATGTTGGTAATATAAGAAACAGAGGTAACCACTTGTCATGAACTTGGGCAGCAGCACCCGTGAACAGAGCAGAGCACGGATCACGGTTCAATTGCTGACAGTAAGGCTCGATATTCTCACCTAAAAGAACATTTAATTATGTTTCATTTTTTTACTGATAAATTAGATACCAATTACTTCGTTGCACACATTTCAGCTTTTCTTTCGTGTTATACCTGTGTATCCCTCCATGCAGAGACACAACAACTTTGGATTAGCGTTTGGATAGAAGAACTCCCCGGCCTCATAAACTTTACCGTCAACGGTACAAGTTGTATTATCTGTTTCTTCCATATCTAAAAAACACAATCAAAACCAGAGATCTTTACATTCCGTCTTTTCAGTGATATTCATAAGAATATGAATTTGCATAAGTATCCGCAGTGCAACTATTCTACTGCTGCAGCGGTTCGCAACCTTTTGTTTATCATTGACCCCCTGTAAATGATTCTTTGTTATCAAAATCTCAATCCGTAACGTGCCAAATGCACATGTATATTTAAAACACTCGTCAATTGTACATTAACAACTATCAAATTCATAGAGAAGAGTTCTATTACGAGTAAATGCACATGCCAAATACTTTTTATTCGAATAAAACAGCAATAATTTGCATGTGTGAGAACTTCATGGCCACGAGTTGAGAACCGCTGTCCTGCTTCATTATTCAAAGAAAATAGAATTTGCTTTGAAACAACGACCAGCATAAAATGGATTACAAATTATGTTAATACCAATACTTTTAAACATATTTGATCTTTCTTATTACAATCTTAATTTATTGTATTTAGTTTACTCACCGCAAAATGAATCTTCGCAACAAAGACCATGTGTTCTTCTGTACAAACAACCCTTTGCCTCAGTACTATTACAATCGTTTAATCTCTCGCATTGGAAAAAGGCACTGCTCACATAATAAAAGTATTCTTTTAGTTCCAGTAAGTAGTGCGTGTTCATGGATTTTCAAATGATAATATATTCACAAACAATTTTTCTCATAGTTCGAATACTCTCATAACTTACGGTATGTAACCATTAAAAGTACTAATACATATACAGATCCCAACAGAATATATTTATAGTGTGAATAACATCGTGGATTTTCCGAATAACCCAATACAAAGATCGAATTATTATATCTGATAAACAGGATTATGAAGGATTAGATTCGATTCAGATTTATTTGATGTACATTGAACTTGAACCAATCACTGATCGTAAGGATCGCCAAAGCTAATGTACTTACGTATCTCTGAACATCGTACATGTGCAATTCCTGTCGCAAGGATTGCTATCCTCAGGTCTCAACGTCTCTCCGACACTGTATTCGTTGCCATTCACATAGCATTTATCCCGTGACAAATTGTTCAGATGACTGCAATTGTATGCTTCCGCACAACAGTCGTTGGGATTCGCGTAAATAGGAGTACAGCCAATCCCCTTGTAATATCTCACAATCAGTTCACCGGGACAATTTACTTCATTGCAGTTCTCTTTATCAATGAAACATGAAGAAAGTGAACGAAATAATTAGAAGAAGTTCACTGATTTGCCCAGCGAAACAAGCAGAATAAAAGTAATACGTATAAAATATACTTAGCATAGGAATTTAATAGCTTCTTACATTTTTTACAAAACGATGCAATTAGATCGATGAAAATTTGTCGTTTTACTCGAACGAAATACACAAATACGCAAAATCGTATCATCTATGCAGACGTGTTATGTGAAATTTTTCGCACAGTGCGCTATATATAAATTTCAATTCACATTTCAAGTATTTACACGAACCTCCTGTATATTTTCATCGGACGATGTAAAGTAACGATTTATATAACACGATAACAAAGCGTAAAACTATCTTGCGCAGAAATCACACATTTTTCAAACAATATTCCTGTGCGCAAGAATAAATTATCCTTCTATATTTTGCATATGAGAAGAATACCGTACAAGAACCAAGATACACCGTTGCTGGCCGACATAAGAATCAAACCATTATAATAACCATCGGTACGAAGTATATCGCTAAGATACATTTCGTAAATAAATTTCTTACCTTCTCCTGTCACTTGAACAGCTACTAGGAACATCAGAAGAACGCATTTTCCAATGATTGAACGCGAATTATTACCGAGCCCGGCCATCTTCAGATCGTGAACTCTACACGCGTATTCTTCTGGCACCATCACCGCCCGCCTTTTATATGCAGCTTCGACGTGAATAAATAGCTGAAATAGCTGGTACTATGGAAGGGAGTGGATATTACCTAAGTCAGCATTCTTCTTAATGAGCCGAAGAACTTGTTATTACTGTTAATCAACTGAATTACGTCACAAAATATTAGATAAATGAAAATAAAACGTTTATTATCGAAGAAAGTAACGCAGACTTACACAGAAATTTTTAATCACAGTCAGAGTAAGATAGTGGTGGTAATTATGCCTGTAGAGCGTCGCGCACCTCACGGATGTCAAGGATTTTCGAGTGTATTGTTAATGTCGGAGTCCAAAGTAAATGTGTCGATCGCACGCTTCAACTTGTTACGGACTTGGTTGTTCTTCGTTAATATTCATACACATTACGTACATCATGACAACACTGATGAAGGAATATATTAAAAATTCTTCGACGAATGACCTGAAATATTCACGCATGTGTATTGATAATTTTTTACCAAATTTTAAGAAGTGGTCTTGTGTATCAACAACGGGGGTAACTTGCACACGCTTTCTACATTACCAGACCAAGTCAACATAGTTGTTCCAAGTTTCCTACGTTGTCTATATTCATCGTCCGATTAGCGTATCGTCACATTTTGTCTTCTCTGTGATGGAGTTACCATCGTTAAATGTGTCGTTAGTAAAGTACATTAAGTGCGTGTCTAATAAACGAGGAAGAAAATTGGTAAGAATCGAATTTCATTCTATATCTGGATTTTTGCCGAAAAGAGTATTAATTTCATTGATGATACGAATTTGATTGGCAAGATTATACGAAAAGATTCGCTATGAAATTTTACTTGAAACATCTATCTAATATGAAAATTGTACGATAAACAGATGGATCTGTAAACAGATTCTTCAGTAAACGGATTTGTCAGTAAACAAATTGCGCAACATAGACCATGCGTTCTTCCGTATAGATTTTTCTCCAGTAGATTTGTTCTTATGGGTATATTTTCAAGCCATTGTTTACGACAAAACAGCAAACTTTATGGAAGAACTTCGAGATAAAATAATACGTGCATATAGAGAAGTAAATGCACCAAGTTTATTTGCTTCTACACATCGAAATCATTTCATTTACTGAAAGGCGCGAGAAGCGTCGTGTTATTTAAACACTTATTATAAACACAAATAAACGTACGACGGATACGAGATCCAATGTACAATTCCATGTAAAAATGTTGAAGTGACTCTTTGATAATTTCTACTATTACAATTTGTTGACAACGCTAAAGTTATGGTAAACATCTGACTTAACGTCGTATTACATCAAATTTCCTTGATATTCGCGTAAATAGAAATTCTGACAATCGGATGGCTTATAATGTCTGACAATCAGTGGATCGGGACATTTTGTTTCATTGCGATCCTCTTTATGAACGAAACGTGTCCGAAGTGGACGATACGATTAGAAATTCACAAAAAAGGTGAAACAAAGAGGATAAAAATCCTTGTGTATCTGTTAAACAATAGCGTATATAAAAGATACTTAGAAGAAAGATTCATGAAAATTACTTGTTTAGGTAAAAAAATACCACGCTACCATTTCAAAGTCATTTGAAATTTCCATCACGTTGCAAATACTTGTAAAATCTTGTTATAAATGGAAGCACGTAAATGTGTACGTGAAACTTATCGCGCAGTGTAATATTTTCCAATTCATCAAACAACGCCTTATCAATTATCAAATATTTACACGAACCTCGTGTCTATTTTCATGAAACGATGTATTAAAATAACATGGTAATCAAGTATGTACAATCGTGTGGAAAAACCTAGCAAATTCGTTATTTGTGTATATTACGTATACGCAATTATAATCATAAACAGTCTGTTCAATTTATTTGGAAATGTTCGAATATCTCGGAAGGAGAGATTAAAAATATCTTATTATCTTACGACAAGCAGAAATTTCGTAGTAAAATCCGTTTGCAGCGAATTCAATTTTCATAACTCGTATCAGTGAGAATTACTTTCATGATCGACGTGCATCGATATATTGTTCTTTCATATAATATTTTGACACGAATTCTTTATAACTGTATGAATTACAGAACAGATGAGTTACAGAAATGAAAAACAAGAAAAGTATGAAACTAAAATTATCATATTATATTATATTATTTAATGTATGGATAGAACATGCTCAAAGTACCTAGGTACCTCCCTGCTGCACAACATAAGGGTTAAGTCATTATGGTAATCGATGGTACCAAGTATATCAGCGAGATAATTTTCCTAAATAAACTTCTTACTTCGTGAATTATTTTCGAGCCCAGCATCGTTAGATCATGCACTCTGCACACGTATTCTCTTATCGCGATCGTCTTTCGTCTTTTGTATGGAGCTTCGACAGTGGATGAATATCACGAATAGATGGAACCGTGGAACAGAGATATTACCTAGACCAGTATATTTTTTATGAGCTAAAGGACTGTTTAGTCTAGTTATTCAACTAAAATATGTTATAGAATATTGTGAATATTAAATGAATGCTTATCAGTGGATAAAATGTTTATCAGTGAAGGAAATAGCGCATGCTTGTATAGAAATGTTTAATCACTATCACAATCGCTGGGATTGTGTTGGTAATTATGCAGAGTATGGCGCACCACGCGGATTTCTACGATTTTGGAATCTCTGTTTATTTGTCTCTGATTTATTACGTGCGTTGTTGTTCTTTGGCGACATTAATACAGATTAGATACCATTAATGAATTAAAAATTCTTGAATGAATGAGTATGAAGCATCTATATCGGTAATTTATTAAGAAAACAAAATTTCAGCTGCTACGATTTAGTAAAATACAACAGCTTTTGGTAGATTATATCGATTTACCAGCTATTCTACTAATCACTGAAACATTCTGATTTTTTAACTTACTAATGCGTTTTATTTCACATCATAAAATCAACAAATTATTTAAACGCGATAGCTTTCGAGAATTAGCCAGATAACGATAACATGTCCAAGAACTAAAGCAGTTAGATAGATAGTTTACGTTTAACAATGATCTCGACTTTAGTCTTCTTCTGACGATGCCGTTGTCGTGTAGCACGTCAAATATGGAGGCACCTCGCAAACGCATTTCATGCCGGCAGACCAAACCTCGATTGGTTGTACATTGCTCAATTCCTCGCCTATGTGCAGCGTCAGATTACCGTGCCGGCACATTACCTTTCCTGTAAGATCAATATGATGGAATTGGTATCGTTAATTGTCTTGTTAGTAAAGTAAATTAGGCGAGTATCTAAATGATCATGGAAGGATACTGAATAGGATAGATTGAGTTTTCTTCTTTTCCTGGATTTTCGCCGACGATGGTATTAAACGTTCGTACTGAATGATCAGCTGATTATTTTACGATGATGACTTTATTGACGAGATTACGCGAAAAGATTAGCTATGAACTCCTATATAGAACTTGCTTCATATTGATACTGAAAGGTAGATAGATCAGTCAAATTAAAACTTTTATAATGATAAACTAGAGAATTAGTGAATCTTATTATGTAATGTTATTTTGAGAATTTCAAATAAGGAAGCATGAAAGATAATGTTACACGTTGAAGCACATTATTTTCAACGTCGTGTACCTTCTGCAGGGACTGATGTAGTGCTGTCATGTTTAGAAATAACGGTGTCGTTTGGACTTGCTGCAAAAACAAAATTAATTCTAGAAATACATTTATCATAGGGAAAATTAATGTTTCTTTCAGAAAATAACGATTTAACTCTGCCGTGGTACTTGAATTTTTGCATCTTAATTTAGGTTTCCTATGAATCGATAAAAAGACTTTTCGTTTCACATCAATTTGATTTAAAACGTTCTCTAACGATAGAGAGATAAGACTCGGTCGAAAATGAAATTAAAAGACTCGGTCGAAAATGAAATTAAAAGACTTTAAAAATATGCTTGTTAAGGAGACTTTTAAATAATGCTTTAAAAATATTGTTAATTTACTCTAGCTTAAGATTTATGAAATTTTCTAACATTACAAAGACATGATTCGGTAAAAAATAATCGACCAAAACGTAGAAGGCTGAAAAACACGTGACCACTTACGATATCTATAAAAGGTTATAGGACAAAAATGATTAAACAGGAAAAACACAGGTATCGACTTGTCATGAACTTGGGCAGCAGCTACATCGAACAGAGCAGAGCACGGATCACGGTTCAGTTGCTGACAGAAAGGCTCGATATTCTGACCTAAACGAAAATTTAATTATATCTCATTTTTTTACTGATAAATTAGATACCAATTACTTCGTTACACACATTTCAGCTTTTCTTTCATATTATACCTGTGTATCCCTCCATGCAAAGACACAACAACTTTGGATTAGCGTTTGGATAGAAGAACTCCCCGGCCTTATAAACTTTACCATTGACGTTACAAGTTGTATTATCTCCTTCTTCATCTAGAAAACGCAATCAGAACCATAGATCTTTATATTCCATCTTTTCAGTGATATTCATAAGAATATGAATTTACATGAATATTCACAGTCTAACAATCATATTACTGAATTACTTAAAGAAAATTGGGCGTGCTTTTAAATGTAGATATTTTCCTTATCGCAATCGTAATTTATTGTGTTTAATTTACTCACTGCAAAATGGAAATCCACAACAAAGACCATGTATCCTCCTGTATGAACATCTTTCCTCTATACCAAAACAACTTCTTAATTGCTCGCATTGGAAAAAGGCACTGTTCACGCAATAAAAATATTCTTTTAGTTAATCTTATTTAGTTCCAGTAATGCGTGTTAATGAAATTTCAAATGATTCCCACAAGACATATCAAATATATTCATAAATGATTTTTGTCATAATTCGAATGCTCATGACTTGCGGTATGTAACCATTAAAAGTACTAATGCATATACAGATCCCAACAGAATATATTGATAGTGTGAATAACGTTGTGAATTGTCCGAATCACTCGATACAAAAGTTGAACTACTATGTCTTATGAGCAAGGCCGTATGAAGGATTAGATTT